TAACAAAGACAATCAGACTTTAGTTGTGTTGTTAGTAGCGCAATCCTATGTCAATCAATCAATCAAATCATTTATTCGTTGTCATCGGTAAAAATGAGTTTTTAAAATTTATATGTGTATAAATGTGCCTCCATGACATGCGCTACAGCATAGGAAAATTTGTTATCATATACATTTTAAATAAAAAATCAAAAAAATCATAATCATAAAAGAATCAATACATTAATCTATAAATCAGTAAAAAAAAATGTCCATGGGTACATAACGGGACTTATTGGCTTAGAGGTATAAGAATAGAGTGGGGAAGGCGGCTCTAAAAGTGTCCGTCTAGTAGAAAGAGAAAGGAGATGCGACACCGCTAGCTATCTCTCTTGTGACTCATGACATCCAATGGCATCACATCGTAATAGTGAGATGCTTACGGTAGCCAATGCGCATGCGCGATTAGAGAGAGAAAGCTAGCGGTCTCTCATATTCTTTCTCTTTCTTTTAGAGGGACACTTCCACTTGTAGTAGAGTCTATATCTCCCCTACTCTATTCTTATACCTCAAAGCTTATTGGAGCGTAGCGGAGCGAGCGAAGCTCCCATGGATCAGCTTCAATGACGAAATGCATGCATTAATAGTGCATAACTACTCCGGCGGTAATACAACAATGAGCGGCTTCGAAGAGCTAGAGTCTAATTAATGTTCTTTCTCACACAGTCTTAATAAATAAATATTATTAAAAATCGGTTGTTTTTATCTCAATCTTAGTAAATATTTTTTTATAAAAAAAAAAAAAAAAAAAAGCAAACAGCTTGATTTATACATTAATATGATTTATACGTTAATTAAAATAATGCTTGTATCTTTATTCGTATACTTTTTCGTAGATGTACAAGTAAACAGTCTTATAATACAACTAGCAAACCAGTGAACCAAATGTTCACCAAAACCTGATTTCTCGAAAACCGGAAGTGCTACGTTACTCAAATCCGGTTTGTAGTCTTATTAGACTATTCTTTAACTTAAATATTCTCTTTATCTATCTCTTACGGTTTGGCCGCTGAAACAGCACCACAGACAGACGGACTTGTCTAATAGATAAGAGATTTTAATGTAATAATATGAAAACACCGATCATTCGATCGAGAACTAAAATTCTGTAATTTTTGCTTTTTCAATCATGGTACCAAGGATCTCGATGGCGCAGGCGGTTAGCGCGCTCAGCTACGATCGTTGATGTTAAGCAACTTTCGCAGTGGTCAGCCATTGGATGGGTGACCAAAAATCTTCTATCTCGAGGTCGTCCGTGCTGTTAGCACCCACCAATCCGCGCACGCATTGGGTGGCCCAATCTCCCCGTTCCATCCATCTTGAAGGCCTGTGCCCCAGCAGTGGGCACATTAATAGGCTGATGGTGATAATCATAGTACCTATTTTAAAAACACATATCTTTGAGTACGCCTTAGGCACCTTGCGCACTAGACGACCACGACTACGGCCAGTGGCCGCAACGACCAGTACCCTTAGAACGAATCAAATTATCAAATACGTAACGTTTGCAAGTACGAAATGTCACTGTCAAATGTGTACTGATTTTTAGTTCTCATTACGATCGCAGCCGAACGCTCTAACCACTTGCGCCATAGAGCTCCTCATTATTCTCTATATAGAATGAAAAGAAGGGCTGGGGTTATGTTTGGTAGGTAAAAAACAATTTTATTTTATAAGTATTAAGAAACTTACAAAATACAGTATATATATATATATATGCCTTATATGCACAAACTCACACACATAAACACACACACACACATACATGCACACACGCACACACACACACACATGCACAAACACTCCGCTTAATTAAATTGTTTAAATTGTATTTTCATGTAATTAAGATGTGCTTTGATTAGCGTGAGTTGCACAACTTGTTATAATGTAAAGGACAATGTTAAAATTGGCCTAAGAACCAACACCAATTTGGCATTTATGATAATTCTTAATATATTTTTTGGCATAATTATCAGTATTTAGATTGTGACGGACACTTCCAGTTCAGTAAGCTAAATTAAAAAGTTGAAAAATAATCTGAGACAATAAATACCATTTTATGTGTATAATCTATGACAGCGCTGCAAACAAAACACTCTTTCTTCCTAATGCCGGCACTTCACTTGGCTATTCGTATTTGCTATTTTATAACATGACATCAGTCTATGATTTTATTTATTTTTTAAGCATTTAACTGCTAGATGTTTAAATCTAAAGAAAAGTTTACTAGAAAAAAAAATGGGTGCGTGTACTTATGTAGGCGCGTGAGAAGTTATCCTTCTTTGGCATCGTTTAAAATTAGTTTTTAATTGCATGCAAATAATTAATTACAATAAATTAATAAAAAGTCTGGAAAAGGACACAGTCAATAAAGTTCAGTTTTAATTTGAAAAATAAATAAATAATCAAAATATTCAATTAAAATCGCTACTGAATATAATTTATTAGAACATATGTGATTTGCACTTGTATGAAACTCAAACACGTATTCCGAATATACAAACTAGAAACATGTGGATAAATATTATAAATATGAATACCTATAACTGTTACTTTATTACAATAATAACATAAAAGTAACATTGAAAAATAAAGATGTGGTTTTTGGTTCTACTACACCAATGGTCAAGAGATGGCGCTGTAGTCTCCTGAATCGCGCTTTGGTTCCGTTGTTCCAGATTAATAAATACTTTTGATAGGCCTTCATAATGCAGTCGTTAGCACCCACTAAATAGAGATACTATTTCTATTTTGTTGGTAGATTTTCTTAATGTGCGGTAAACACAAAAGTAACAGCATGGAGTTGGTCGCTAAAGCGACCAACTTCATGCTGTTAAAATTTTGTGTTACAGTGATGCGCGCGCATCTTAAAATTTCACTCTCATCTGTTTTTCATAACGCGCCTAAAGAAGTATAACTTCAAAAATCCACGCGGACCAGGCAGTGGACGGGACCGTCCCGTCCGCTGCCTGGTCCGCGTGGATTTTTTTCTAGTAAACTTTTCTTTAGATTTAAACATCAGTCTGTCCTTTTCATTCCTTATTAAGCATGACAAGGACAAACTATTGTCAAGTGAAGGGCCGGCATAAAACTCGATACTCTGTGGTTGTGGTTTGCATTCGTAGTAATCTGTGGCATTCGTGCATTCCAAACAGTAGCATAATATACAGGAAAGTGCGTTCTCGTTTCAAATTACCTGTTGTGTGTGTTTATTTGCGATTGTTTTTCCTATAATTTAAATATTTTGGCTATCTAATATGCCATCGATGTTACCAAAGAGTTACCTTATTACCAAGTGCTAGTGAACCTGTGCCACAACATCCTGAGAGGATCATACTGCCAAATTATTTAAGAACACCTGATACACCTTCACGCTGCATATTTACACAATATACATGTGATATATAAATAAATACCATATACAATATGATACAATTATGTGAACAATAGTCAATAAATAAGAAGCAAAACTACAGTTTTTAATTTATTCATGATTCCTACCTATCCAAGGTTTTCCTAATAGTTATTCTTTAAAATCGCACCGGATAAAATGAATTAGTTGTAATATTAATTCACTTCATACTAAGTTCATAGGTTGACCTATGTTTCATTGAATATTAAAAATAACCTCAAAAAACATTTAGTTTTCCTAATAATTTAAGTTCTCAGAAGTGTCCGTAAATAATCTTTGTTTTTACAGTCATTTACTTACAATTTCGAACCTAGAAAATAATATTTCATGGTTGTTGGTTCTTAGGCTAACTATGTATGGACGCTGAACAATGTCCTTTCCATGTCAGGTCATGGTACATTCTTAGTAAAATTTCACTTTAACTAGCTCTGTGGTGTAACTCCCGCTTTATTATATTTAATTCCTTGTTTTAATCTTAATATAGTTAATGACCTTACCATAATGTAACGTATGCTATGGAAGAGTGGTTCTTTTTGGTACAGGTGTCTTTGCACTTAAAAAAAAGAGCCTAGCTTTATTTATGTAACCAAATGTATGGTAAAGTAATAAATCATTTTTATTTTATTATTTTTTATTTGGTTTTGTTTGGAGAATCATCCCAGAATCGACACCAATATGTTATTATTTTTCCTAACTTTAATAGCTCACACTCTGTAGCCAAAACATTCGTATCCCCTTACTGGTAGAAAATGCCTATGGCATTAAGTCCGCCATATACTGTATTTTGGTAAAAAATATCTAAAAAAAGGGAAATAATAGTAATTCAAAATACGAGTGCGGGATTTGAACCGACGACCGCGGTGATGCGTCGAACATTGGTACCGTGGCAAAGATTTTACACATTGCGCCGCTTATATTGATACTGGAATGGCGAAAAGGTGTTCTATTGATTTTTAGTTCTCATTATGTCCGTTATGGCGCTACTGTTCAAGTTTCCATTCAAAATATGACAATGACATTTCGCACTCGCAAACTTTTCGAATTCGATATTGGTTCATGCTAAGGGTACTAGTTTACTACAAAAACCATACGAACGTTCGCAACAGTCAACTCCAGTTCAGGAGCTCTATTTTTGAATCACTCGTCTGACATAGTATCGTCGAATGCGACACCTTCGACTTTCAAGTCGCATAATACTGATTTTCCGTATTTTTGAATCACTCGTCACCGGTGTTACCTGTTTAATACGAAATATAAAATTTTACTCAGTTCACGCAGAAAAAATAAAAGCCGGTAATTACCGCAATGAAAACCGAACAAAAATTCTCGTTGTCGTTTCATATAAAGCATGACAATAATAAATTATCGTTGTCCAATAGCACAAAAAAAATACAATTATTCTATCATTCGCCTCCACCATTCGCCATGCAGCGAGTGGTCTCACCCATCCGTTGCACTCAAGCGATTCAAAAATACGGAATTAACTATGTCGAATGAAATTAAGTAGGAATCGAGCGTTTGACGACAGACGAGTGATTCAAAAATAGAGCTCCTGGTCTAGCGGCCACTGGCCATAGCAGCCTCCTTCCCGACGAAGAATTTAACTTGAATGAAACAAAACTATATCAACACATTATGTTTATGTACAACTAGGTTTATTCGATAACATTAATAACTAGAGATGGGCCGACTAGCCGCCGACTAGTCGGGAAAGACGACTATTCGGCAAAAATGACGATTATAATCGGCACATAACAATGAAACAAAACTCAAAACTAATGTTTGTTTTGAATATTTAAACAGTACCTAGAGTATGTATTTAAAGTTACCTACAGTCTTAAAATATTGAAAAAAAATAAGGTCACAACATAATAAGTATTAGGAACTTAAGAATCTGTCAGTAATTCAGATACCTTAACACAATGAATATCGCACATAACAAAATAGAAGTGGGAAGTAAGTACGTTTTAAATCGAGTGAAATCTTAAGTGCTAGCGCGAGTCTTAAAGAAGTCTATAGTCTTAGTCCTAGTCCTAGTCTTAGAGGAAAATTGTGATGTTGGAACATGAATATTTCGGCTCGTTTTGGGACACTCGTGGTCGTGCGTGAGCAAGCCGAGTAGTGACGAAATATTCCGAACATCTTCCTAAGATAGGTATTAGAATTGGCTTTGCAGAATAGTCGGCTGACTAGTCGGCAATTCGAAAACCGATTAGTCGGCTAGTCGGTTAGTCGGCCCATCTCTATTAATAACGTTAAGTCTAGTATCAGGAGCTTTACTCTCTTTCTCCGAAACGAAATTTCGGTAACGAACGAATTTTAAACGAAATTTCGCCATTGACTCTACTCTATTTCATTTTCGAACAGGCATATAAACTTCGGAACGACAATCAGTTTTGGTGAACGAATGGAATGAGTCATTTTTGTGAGTTCTTTATATCTCTACTTTTAAGATTAGGTTTTTTTACTTGGAAACAATATAGGCAGTTTACGGCAATTTTTTGATGACATTGAAGGAATCTTCTTTGACAGTGTTAGCCGACTAATTTGTAGAGTTGATAGAAGCTATTGTGTGTCAATCTGAATTTGTCGTTTAATACTTTGAAGTATTGGAATTACAATTCAAATAATAAAAAAAATGGTTTATTTGTTAATTTTACATGCTAAAAATGTTTCTCGAGCTATGCAGCTATTATTAAAAATACTCTTGCAAGTATTTTAGGCTTAATTAAAACAAAAATCTCAAAACGGAAATGAAAAGGTAACACTTTTCATTTCGTCAATTTGAGGTTAAAACGAACAATTATCTGTCAAATTCAACTTTTCCTTCGAAAGTTTTGTGAATTAGAGTTAGTTTGGAGAATTTAAATGTCAAACTATTTTTGAACGAACGAATTTTCGAAATGAAAAGGAAACAGAGTAAGGAACGTGCGAAATTTCGATCGAAATTTCGTTTTTCGTTGAAATAGAGTAGATCTCCAGGTCATTCGTCGTCGTTGAGCAAGCTTTCCGGTTTCTTCTCGCAGATGAACGGTGCTATATCGATGTTGCACCACACGTCGTAGTACAGGCCGTCTCGCGCAACTGCCCCGCAGATGTAGTCGCCGTCCTTGTTTCGTCCGTTGTCAGGGTTACCTTCCCCGAACTTAGAATAGCCTGCTTCCTTTAGAGTCTCACCTGGAAGAGATGGATTTTATTGTAAGTTACTGTTGATTTCCATTGATCTCTATCAGCACCCTGCCCTGTGCCCCAGTAGTAGGGAGCTGGGGCACAGGCCTTCCATATGGATGGAACTAGCGGCCCGCCCTCGCATCGCTTCGGTGTAGAGCTGAAGTGTAGACTACAGTTTTTGTTATCTGGCTTGTATTATAATAATGACATTAATCTATGATTCTTCTTATACCTGCATGCAAAGTCTCAGCCCGATCGGTTTAAAATTGATAAAGTTTCATACAAACTTTCATTCCCCATTTTATCCCCTTGGGGGTAGAATTGATCAAAATCCTTTCTTAGCGGATGCCTACGTCATAACATCTACCTGCATGCCAAATTTCAGCCCGATCCGTCCAGTGGTTTGGGCTGTGCGTTGAGAGATCACTATGTCAGTCACCTTTCAGATTTATATATATAGATAGATTACTGTTGATTTCCATTATTCTCTAACATCACCAGTCTATTAATGCCCTGTCCTGTGCCCCAGCAGTAGGGAGCTGGGGCACAGGCCTTCCTTATGGATGGAATAGAGAGACCACTTGGACCCAGTGCGGATTGGTAGGTGCTAACGACTGCAGGCACAGCCGGGACCAACGGCTTAACGTGCCTTCCGAAGCACGGAGGAGCTCGAGATAATAAATTTATGGTCACCCATCCAATGACTGACCGACTGCGAAAGTTGCTTAACTTCAACGATCGCAGCCGAACGCTCTAACCACTTGCGCCATCGTACTCCTCATTATTCTCTATATAGAATGAAAAGAAGGGCTGAGGTCAAGTTTGGTTTTGGGTTTGGACAATCATTCCAGAATCGACAGCAATATGTTATTATTTTTCCTAACTTTAGTAGCCATAACATTCGTATCACTGGTAGAAAATGCCTATGGCATTAAGTCCGCCATTTACTGTATTTTGGTAAAAAATAATAAAATAAAATATAAATAAAATGAAAATTGATTAAAGAATAAATGGTTATACATAACTTTGAGTTTCTGTAATTGGCCTTAAGTTTTTATTTATATTTTATTGTATTCAATCCACAAAAAACTGCTGTAGAAACTTTGTTAAAGATAAATAAATAAAAATTTAGAGAATTATTTTTTGATGATCCATTTAATTTAGCCTTCAATTCACATGACTTGTTAAATATTGTAAAAATACCTAAAAAAGGCAAAACCGCAGCATGTATCATAACATCCTGTTTTTATTGTACATTTAGTCTAAACTCAACGTTTAATATAAACTGGGCCTATCAAAAGCAAACACAATCTAAGTTATTGTGGTTAATTACCGACCATAAAATAACATCGTGCCGTTTCCTCAAATAAAATTAAAACGCCGATTTATAGTACAAAAATAACTTATGCAGGAAAATATTGAATTTATAAACAAGACCTACGAAGTAGGAAGACTCCAAGCAGATCTTTTTTTTGGACACTAAGGACGTTCTCAGAAATATGACTTAACTTTTGAATTTGTTTTTTTATATTTCCATTTATGAGGACAATTTGTGACACAATAAGTATTCTATTTTATTACTGTCTTTGAATACGGCTTTAATGTTGAGAAAACTGCTTCCCATTAATAATGCATTGCATAATGTGTTTTTCTTTAACAGATTGTACATTAAGATTCTAAGGGCACAGAAATGACAAGTTCAAGAAATAATAACGAATTAGTTATCACAGGGTTAGAATATTAAATGTTTTAGACAGATAATATGTCTGAACTTGCACGCATAAAAAACAAAGCTCCAAATACCTAACCAAGCTTCAAGTGGCAAAAGAAAAGGCGTCAAGATGGACGAGGTGACTATACTAATGATTGCATATTGAAGACATTTTTCAACTAGACATATCTGAATGTATACAATGCAGGGAGAAAAAACAGCCCCTGCTTAGTTTTTGTCGTTTCATCTCAGTACAAAGTCTCCCACCGTAGATTTGCAATGGCGTAACTTTTCCACTTTCACAAACACTTGTGACAGCCTAAACAAAAATTTTAACAAAACCTAAATTACCATGTACAGTGTAGAACACGCCGAACTCCCCCCAATCGTAGTATCCAACGGACGCGACATCCTTGTACTTGGAGAAGATGTCTTTAGCTGGCACCCTGGCGAAGACATCCTTGATGACTTCCACTTCTGTGGCACTGTTGATGACGGCCAGGTGACCGCCCTCGGCGATGCAGGTCATGTACGCGTTCTTCCAGCTCTTGCCGACCTTGTGGAACTTGTAGCAGCTGCCCGTCCTGTGGTCCAAAATGTATTCTGGAACAGAAGACAGCATTTTTAATGTCATATGGGATTGTAAAATATATTATAGGAGCTATCTTTACTTGGTAAACAATATTGCAGTGTTCTTTAAAACAGTTGTAAAATATCAGAATTTGATTTAGATGGAATTGGAGAAAAAATAATATTGGTACTATTTTTAAATGGTCATTGTTTTTAAAAATCTCGTGGAATATCAGTAAAAGAAAGAAAAGCCTAAATGAAATTATAATAAACAAGTAAAAACTATAAAGAATAAACACTAAAAGTTAATCTATCGTTATCAATATTCGACTTACAAGGTAAATGATGTATAACATAACAACTAACTAATAATGTTAATTTAATACATTCCTGTTTTTGTTATGTTTTACAAATTGTTGATATCATATCGAAAACGGCTCTAAACTTAGTAATTGTGGTTAATTACCACACTACCACAATAACAACATGTTGTTTCCCTACAACATTCCAACTTTCATTCTCGTCGGGCAGATAAAATAGCAAATTGTTTGGTTTATTCAACTCAACTCAAACTCATTTATTCAGTCTAGGCTGTTACAAGCTCTTGTGAAAGTCAAACAAACAAGACCTTGTACTGAGAAGAACCGGCAAGAAACTCAGCAAGGGCTATTTTTGACGTGACAACGTCTTAAATTAGGTTGCGGCTGGGAGTCACTTATGAAAAAGTGTAACGCTCGGTAACGTTACGATGAGTTTAAGTTTACATGTACAATGTTTTAGTAAACAAAATATATTTCTATAGTTAAAATTTGTGCAATTCTTATTTTCATTCAATTCCTTATTCCTATTGTGCAATTTAATTATATTCATATCAATAAATATTCTACCGAGAAAAAGACGTTGTCACGTAAAATCTTCGCCCGTAAAACCGACTTTACAGGCAACCATTTTTTTCTCCCTGTTTTGTTTCAAACAGTGTCGTCAATTGAAAGATGACATCAAAAATTGAAAAACATGTATTGATGTCAACTTCCATGACATTAATATTATTAACAAAAATTAAGTATAGCTAGGTATTACTTTTAGATTTAGAAGTGGCGATTAAACAATTTTCAACCAAATCAGCAAAGTAAAACGACTTAGTCTGTTATATTAAGCCCAAGGTGACTTATCATTTATGAAATCATTAACAGTATAGTAACCTTTCTTAAGGAGACATGTTTTTATAGACACTTTAAACTTATTGAAAGGTAAATTAATTATTTTTTTTGGTATTTTATTATAGTAACATATGCCTTGACCCACAAATATACAAAGAACCTTTTGGAGTCTTATGTATGTATTCTTCTGCTGCTTTAACAAAATTTTAATTATCTGTACTATACAAATATATTGAAGCCCCCCGTGGCTAGAGTGCTATGTACGCCGGTTTTCAAGGTGTCGCCTGTTCAGAAGTTTAGATTCAAATTCCGGTGAGGCAAATGTTTGTGTGATGAAAACGAGCATTTGTATCTGAGTTTTAATGTATTTCTGAAAAAAATATACCTATTTATATATCAGTATATGTATTGTATCCTTTAACCACCACAGTAAGGGTGTAAGGGGTTTTTAATACACCTGCAAGAACCCAAGCCAACCTCACCTTCACGTGGTGCACCCTGTTGACCAACAGACGAGGCTCTGGCAAACCGACCGATGGCGGTATAACCACCCAACGACGTAGGGGAGGAAAATGTCACTGGTGACGGGCAGCAGCGTCATCAGTAAATAAACCTACGCTCTGCGATCTCCAACCCGCCTGCCCAGCGTGGCGATTACGTGCAAAACCTTCATGCACAAGAAACGGCGTGCATTTGGAGAGGCCTATGTCCAGCAGTGGACTATGATAGGCTGTTGATGATGATGATGATGATCCTTTAACCACCACAGTATATGTATTGTTTCAAAAAACACAAGCTTTACAGTGCTGACTTTGGGGCTAGCCTAATCGGTGTTTTAAAAAAGACAAAATATGAAAAACTTCCACTCACCATTGTCAATCGTACCGCAGTCGTTAATTGCCAAGGTCTTCGTCTTCTTCTTGTAGCAGACGTAGGGAAAGGTCTCGGTGCAGCGGACGTCGGCCATGGTGCCGTTCTGCAGGATCACGATGCAGTCCTCGCTGTCGTTGTGGTTGTCGGGCTCGTCGGGGGCCCAAGTGGTAGGAATCCTGTTCAAAGGTACCCCTGGAAATTTTTAGGACGAATAGAGTGAGAACTTCAACCATCTCTTCATTTTATGCCACATATCCAAGCAAACAATCGGAGCTTGGAATGAATTAGCTTTGCATGAGATGATAGTAAGACGGCTTCCAGCAATAGTAATAAGTGCTTCATTCAATAAGTTAAGCTCTATTGGTCACTCGAAATGGAAACCAAAACGTCGCAAATTAGTATCGTGTGCCTGCCTAGCATGATCACCGCGACATGCTAAATAGTTCGTTTTACCCGCTGAATTGTCAAATTACAATAGCGTTTTGACAATTAGGCGCAGTAAAAAACGTGATAAAGTGTAAATTGTGGTTCTCCAGGCTAGGGGGACTGGTTTTCCGTTAATCCAAATTGATTGTGATAGTGTAGTGTATTTACACATCACGGATTAGGTCCGTGTTACACATGTAATAAATATATATTTATAATGAAAAGGGAAACAGAAGAAAGAGAGGAGGGTAAATTATGTAGATTCTGAAGATTGAAGAGATAAACATTTTTATGCATAGAAGAGGAATCTGCTTTTCAGGTTACAACTAAGTCAAACCACACAAAACAAGTCCGGCTCACTCGAGGAAGTAACAGCTTATCGTGCATGCATGACAGCACTGAAAATATGTCATACACATGATCGTTTGGGAATCTACACAATATGTATATATGTTATATAGTTTGGTAAAACTTTCTGTACTCAGGAGGTGACGTTTACAATTTTTTGATAAAAAGGATTAATGAATTAATTTTCTGGCGCTTCGCCGACCAAAGGCTCGTGCAGCACAACACGATTTATATCAATGATTTGCCCTATTTTGTAAAGGATAACCATGAAAGAGTATTGTTAGCGGATGACACTTCACTTTTGTTTAAAATTAAACGTAGGCAGTCGCAAATTGACGACGTGAACAAGTCTATTTCTAAGGTAGTCCAGTGGTTTAATGTTAATAATTTACTGCTAAATGAAGGGAAAACTATTTAGACGAGAAGATTAAAACTATTATAAGTTTGAAATTGGTTTTACCTAATGTCAAACAGGTAAAAACCAATGTAAATATAAAGGATCGAAATGTGAGCCTTGTAGATACCACAGTGTTCTTAGGAATCACACTAGATTCAAAGTTGCAATGGGGCCCACATATTAATAAATTGTCCAAGAAACTTAGTTCTGCAGCACATGCTGTAATGAAAATACGTCAGTTAACGGATATAAAAACTGCCAGATTAGTCTACTTTAGTTATTTTCATGGTGTAATGTCTTACGGTTTTTTACTGTGGGGAAATGCCGCCGACATTCAAACAATATTTGTGTTGCAGAAGCGGGGTATTCGATCAATTTATAATCTTAGTTAAGGACTCCTTAAGATATAAGTTTAAAGTAATAGGCATAATGACGGTTGCATCACAATACATATATGAAAACTTAGTATATGTCAAAAAAAATATTAGTTTATTGACTAAAAATAGTGAAATACATACACTGCTACTAGGCTCCACAAAATTAATAATTCGCTTAGAGGTCTCTTTGTTCGCTTTTACAATAAAGTCCCAAGCAATATTCAAGAGTTAAGCATGACTAAATTTAAATCGACCATTAAAAAATCTCTTGTTATGAAGAAGAAGCTTATTATAAAGTGTCTGATTATATTACAGACATATATGCTTGGGTTTGAACTGTTCCAATCATTCCAACGGGAATTTCTATATGATATATATTATGAATCATGTGTTGACGATACTACTATTGAAAAGCTGTATTTAAAGTTGATTACGTAAGGAAGAATATCAGACTATTTAAGAAGATTTAAATGACAAAACGGCGTGGTCATGATTTCTCCGTTGTTTTTGCTTTGTAATTGTTTGCAGTGTCCTACAGATAAATGACTTTAATTTTAAGTAAATATGTTGTGGTTGATATAGGTGGTTATGGGTAGTCATGCTCTCTTAAAAGTCTTTTCGGTGGTGTCGTGTGAGGCGGGTCGTTACGTTCCCTAAAATATGGTTGAGCGAAGCGATGGCTGGTTCATGCGTCATGCTCGTGAACGGGTGCTGCCAGCGGAGATGAGTCTGCCCTTACTACTTTGATATTTAAGATGTAAATGTTTCATTACACCTATTATGAATAACTCTGTTTGTATTTATACTATGTGACACAGCAATCAAAATGCAGGTGAACAATTAATGTATAATTTCACATTATGTAATGAAAGGTCATGAATCATCTCTGAAGCCATTTTTCAACTTGACGACTCTGTAAATGATAAAACAGGGAGAAAAAAACAGCCCTTGCTGAATTTCTTGCCGGTTATTCTCAGTAAAAGGTCTCCCGCCGTACATTTACGAACCGAGGGCGTAGCTTCTAGACATTCATATGTGCTTGTAACAGCCTAAACTGAATAAATGATTTTGATTATGATTAATCTTTGCCTAACCAAGTGTGAAGTGTCACCTCCTGAGCCCAGAAAGTACAGTATAGCCAATAATTTTATTAATAACTAGTGGCCCGCCCTCGCTTCGCTTCGGTGTAGAGCTGTAGTGTAAACTATAGTTTTTGTTCTCAGGCTTGTGCAATAAACAATGACTTTATTTATATAATTACACGTGTTATTGTGAGTCAACCATAAAAGATAGACATATGCTGTTGCGGGATATTTTTTAGACAATTTTATGTAGAATATTTCCGTCATACATGATTTCTATGTAACTTTAACCATTAAGGCTGCACACGCGACGGAAGCTTAAAAAATGAAGTAACTTCTCCCGTTTTCCCAACGTTTCCCTTCACTACTCTGCTCCTATTGATTGTAGCGTGATGAAAAGTATACTATAACCTGCCCAGGAGTATGAAGAATAATTGTACCAAGTTTCGTTAAAATCCGTTGAGTAGTTTTTGTTTCTATAAGGAACATACACACAGACAGACAGACAGACAAAAAAATTACTGATTGCATTTTTGGCATCAGTATCGATCACTAATCACCCCCTGATAGTTATTTTAAAAATATATTTCATGTACAGAATTGACATCTCTACAGATTTATTATAAGTATAGAAGATAATATCAGCTGTCTTCGCGTCTGGACTTCACCGTAGCTTAACATCAGGTAGGGTGGTGTCATTTGTCGGACCTATCTATAAAAAAAATGTAAGCTTACCCTCGATGGAAGTGTAAGCTCCTTTGGAGATGGTCGCATGAATACCAGTGTACAATGCGCATGCGTCGCTTTTCGTCTTCTTGTGTAAATTCGTCATCGCATTCTTGAGGTAAATGTTCAGCGGGGACGCTAAAACCGCACCTGGAAATTGACAATTCATTATTCAAGCGTTTCAAGCAAACTGTAGGGGGCTAATCTATTTTATTGATGTAACGTTTCCAGAGGAGCTGGATGGCGCAAGTGGTTAGCGCATTCGGCTGCGATCGTTGAAGTAAAGCAACTTTCGCAGTGGTCGGTCATTGGATGGGTGACCAAAAATTTACTATTTTTACAATTTGCCGAGTCGTGTGAATTGAAGGCCAAATGGATCATCACAAACTATTCTCTTAATTTTTATTTATTTATCTTTAACAAAGTTTCTACAGCAATTTTTTGTGGATTGAATACAATAAAATATAAATAAAAACTTAAGGCCAATTACAGAAACTCATTATGTACACTTTAGATGTTAACGGCGTTACTTTACATATATAAGTACTTATTTAATATATTATAGTCATAACCTTATTCCTTCCTTATATAACCATAAATTTATTCCTTAATAATTTTTTAATTTATTTATATTTTATTTTATTATTTTTACCAAAATACAGTAAATGGCGGACTTAATGCCATAGGCATTTTCTACCAGTAAGGGGATACGAATGTTATGGCTACAGAGTGTGAGCTACTAAAGTTATGAAAAATAATAACATATTGGTGTCGATTCTGGGATGGTTCTGCAAACCCAAACTCAATATAATATCAGTCCCTTCTTTTCATTCCATGTAGAGAATAATGAGGAGCTCGATGGCGCAAGTGGTTAGCGCATTCGGCTGCGATCGTTGAAGTAAAGCAACTTTCGCAGTGGTCGGTCATTGGATGGGTGACCAAAAATTTACTATCTCGAAGCACCCACCAATCCGCACTGGGCCCGCGTGGTGGGTCATGGTCTAATCTCCCTATTCCATCCATAGGGAAGGCCTGTGCCCCAGCAGTGGGGACATTAATAGGCTGTTGATGAACGTTTCCAGTACATCTGATTTGGCATCCGATGAATATGAGCCGGCTGCTTCGGCTGTACTCAAACGATGAAACTAAGCCTCCATTACAGAACCACAGCGATCAAATAACACACAAATCATCGACATCGACGAAATCGGCCCTTGCATGCTCAATAGAATGTCCTTCACTACTATTTTTCTATTATTTTTTTAACTCATTAGCAATTAATCATAGTAAACGGACAATCTGTTTAAAAAAATAAAAGTTCTGTTACTAGATACTTACAGTCTGTTCATCCTAACTTGTCCTATTTGGTATACAATCTTGGCACTCCTTTTAATTGAAAATACAGCATTAAAAATCAACTGATAACTGGATTTAATAGGTTTCAGTCTATAATAACGATTTTTTTAATAGTTTATTGGCTTCGTTATTATTTTATTTTTAAATGGCTGATTTTGTTAGAAAGTTGTGCCAAGATTGTTTACCTTAATAAATGCAATATAGGCGACCATAGGTATTTATCAACATAAGAATAGAACTTGGTACCTTAGTTAATCCTTAGTTAATAATACTTATCACTAGTATTTATATTATATTTATAAAAAGATTATTTCGAAATTATGTAAAGATAGTTTATACTCCCATCCCATGTAATATCTGTTTATTTTTATGAAAATCATAATGATAACCAGGTACATACCTTATTACCGATAGTAAAATATAGAAACAGGTAAATGGAAAGACTTGGAACATTTCATTTGAAAAGAAATCTATTATTACAACAGGTTGGTATAGGCATCATAGGTGCCAACTGCCAAAACTCATATATCAATATGAATATAAGCATTTATTATTTTTATTATTAATTTCATTTTATGTTCATTTAATGCATATTATATAAGTGCTTACATAGAGGTAAACACTAAATCTATTCAGAATATATAAAGTGTACATCTTTTACGATTAAGTATAAAAATTATAACCTCCAAATCTAATACATACTGTAGTAGGCCATGGTTCCTCAAGTTGTCCGTATCTCAACAAATGCCTAATTAGAGTTTATGAATGATTCCGAACACAATTAGCATTTTCTCATTGCTGGGCGTTCTAGGGCAGTCAATGTATGGGGAACGAGCAATGTCCTTTAAAGTACTATTCGTAAGTGGAATTCTTTGCCCGCGCACGTGTTCCCTCGTTGCTACAATCTGGGGTCTTCTAAGAAAGGGGTGAAGAAGCATGTTTGCAGGCCGGCAAGGTGAGGATGGTTGGTGTGAGTTTATAACTGCTGTACCAGCTATCTTCGCGTTTGGACTTTATCCACTTTACATCAGGTGGGGAAGAGTCATTTGCCTACCTGGCTATAAATAAAATATAATCAAAACGAGATTACTATGTAAGTATTTTTTGCAAGTCTTGATATTTCAGCACCGTTGCAAGTGCCACGTAGTAGGTAACTGAAGTTATTTCAGATAAGTTGTTCTTGGCTGTACATCAGTCTGAATATCTTTCGTAGTTAAGTTTTTTATTAGATCATATTTACGCAGTACTCTCGGGATTTATAAAATTGGCCGTTCGGCGCCTAATTTTAACATAATTTTATAAGCATTTAACTGCTAGGTGTTTAAAATTAAAGAAAATTTTGCGATGCGCATCGGTATCAGAAAAATCGCATCGGATCCGCGCACCGATGCCAAGTGACTGCCAGTATCGTAGTATCACAAACTTTTTGGTGCCGGTGGCAAAAATTGGAATTACAATTTAGCCTTAACATTGTGACATATTTGTTCACCGCTAGCGACATCTTCACCGGCACATATAAGTTTGTGGCACTGTTGCTATAGTAACGTTGAAAAAAACTAGATGGCATCGGCATCCAGTCGCATCGGCTGCGCGCATCCAAACTTGACATCGTTATCGCGCATCGTTATTCTAAAAACGCCCACACCTATTCGTATTACATACCTTCTGCGTTACATCTCCTGAAAGCGTCATGGAAGCTAGCTGGCACTTCGTGCAACTTCACCCAGCCCGCGGCTTTCACATTATAAGTGTAATCGAACCGGAACTGACTGCTTACTGTAAAAGAAGTACTTACGTACTACACTTTCGCATTTATAAAATTGTAAGTATAGATAAATAATTGACTAGCGGACCGCCCTCGCTTCGCTTCGTTGTAGAGCTGAAGTGTAGACTACAGTTTTTGTTCACAGGCTTGTATTATACACAATGACATTCATCTATGATTCTTCTTATACCTGCATGCAAAGTCTCAGCCCGATCGGTTTAAAATTGACAAAGTTTCATACAAACTTTCATTCCCTATTTTTTGCCCTTGGGGGTAGAATTGATCAAAATCCTTTCTTAGCGGATGCCTACGTCATAACATCTACCTGCATGCCAAATTTCAGCCCGATCCGTCCAGTGGTTTGGGCTGTGCGTTGATAGATCACTATGTCAGTCAGTCAGTCGCCTTTGAGTTTTTTATATATAGATAAAAGTTAACCTCTTCCATATTCGCATCAAATAAGGTCTGATCTGACCGATTTGATCAATCCGATAAGATTCCTCTAGTATGATATTCGCGAACTCCAATTATCGATCTGGTAAAGGTCGCGGGAAGCCGCTGGATGCGGGCAGCATGGGACCGATCGTTGTGGAAATCCATGGGGGAGGCCTAAATGTCCAACAGTGGACGTCTTTCGGCTGAAATGATGATGATGATGATGATGAACTCGAATTCCGCCATGAATTGTGTATTTTTTTATTAGCCAGCCTGAAAATTGGTCTGCTCCGTAAAATTAATTACCCTTACAATCTCTCTTTCCCAAATACTCAACATATTCTGGTTCAATTTCTCTCGAGAGAAATACAGCATGACACGTTCCTTGTCCAAGGGCATCGTTACTAATATTATAATAGTACGTGGTGTGATAGTAACTCTAAAATAATATATTTCTACTAGCAGCCGCCCGCTTCGACCAAGTTAACTTTAGTTTTTGGGAACCCCATAGAAACCTAATATTTTACCAAGATAAAAAGTGTGTATACTATGTCTCAATCTAAATCAAATCCATCCAATTCCATGAATTTTCGTATGCAGATAAGCGGGACCTTGGAAGAAAGAATTAGACTACTTTTTCCGTGAAAATAAAACTTTAATCTAATGAAAGGTAGGTATGTAGGGAATGTTTTTTTATGGAGATCTTCTTAATATCAGCTCACCTTCAAACAAATGGTCAAGGAATATGTTGAAACACATTTTGTAATAAATATTTATTTCTATTTTTTGTGTATTATGGTGGCGAATATGCCTAATATACCAAACGGCACTTAATTATCCATTGTTAATTTTATTTTTAGCATATAGGAATACGTCATTTAATGAATGGCCAAAAATTTATTATCTCGAGCTCTTCTGTGCTTCGAAAGGCACGTTAAACAATTGGTTCTGGCTGCATCTGTAGTTGTTAGCACCCACCAAGCCGTAATGGGCCCACGTAGTGTTTTATCGCCCAATCTTCCTATTCCATCCATAGGAAAGGCCTGTGTCCCAACAGTGGGGACATTACCTCATGACATGACGACCTCCGTGGCTGAGTGGTTTGTACGCCGGGTTTCATGGTGTCGCCGACTCGAGAGGTCCCGGGTTCGAGTCCCGGTGGGGTCAGATGTTTGTGTGATGAATACGAGCATTTGTACTCCACTCATGGATGTTTAATATGTATTTCTATATAAATATGCTTGTATATGTACTGTATATGTATTCTATCCGTTACCCCAGTATCCCATAACACAAGCCTTACAGTGCTTACTTTGGGGCTAGGCTAATTGGTGCGAGTGTTGGAAATATTTATTTATAGGTTAGTGATCATGATAGAAGCCTTTGTTTAGATTAATGCTGTATAAACTTTTATTTTAAATGTAAACACTAATTAATTGAAGTAACATTCGAGTAAAATAAGATGGATGTTAGTGGACAAGCTTGTGTATAATGATTTTACTTTTCATTAACAGTTCGCCTTTTTAAACTTTTATTTTCACGACAGATACCAGTATTGCCTTATTTTTTCTTCTTTAAAATAAATTTATCATTAATCAGTATTTCCTAATTCCACTAATCTCGATAAATAGACTGGAATCGAACTAGGATATATAGGTGCAGGTGCATGCATTCATTAAAACAGCAAAAGGTGATTAATAAAAACAATACTTAGTACCCAGTACTACCTAATCAAAGAAAAACGCTAGGCGTACTGCTAAAGGCGTTGTGGATGCAAATAAACAGGGGGTTAGGAAAAGGAAAGATAAAAAGAAACGAAAAACGATAATCCCAAGGGAGAGAAATCTCTAATAAGAAGTTACTGGAGCATTGGCTGAATTTTCATGAAGAAAAGAACATGCCAAAGGTAGTGAAAGAGAAAGAGGAAGAAAAATTAGAGGTAGATAGGAACAAAAAGAGGGTTAGTGCTGAAAGCCACATCCGGGTAAATGTGGAACGCGGTGGAATTGGAACCAAGGAGGTAGATATGGGGAAGGTTAAATCAAGTAGTGGCAGCAAAATTGAAATTTTGAAACCTCCCCTTGCCAAGGCCAGTTTCATACATGGAGGGAATCATTCTACTTAGGGTATAAAGGTGAGAGAGGAACGGATGTTACTCTCAACACAAATGAAGAGGGAGAGAAAATTTAATCATAGCAAAGATTAAACAATGTAGAGGAAAAATACTAAATAGGATAAGAATAGAATATAAGGTTTATACAATAATACCAAAAATGTAATTATGATATAACCTAAATACAATATGTATGAATGTATTAAGGGTTAAACTGTACTTCCAGGGCCCAAGAGGTGAGGCTTGTTTTTCTTTTTGTAGAAAAGGTGTATTTTAGCAGAATCTTTTTCTGGCGCTTCGCCGGTCGCTCTCTTGGCACGCTCGCTTTGCTCGCTCGGCTCGCGCGATATGGTCACAACACTAACCTAACCTAGTGTGAAGTATCATCTCTTGGGCCCTGTAAGTACAGTTTAGCAGTATTCAGAATAAAATATAAGGAATAGTTTACATACAATAAGAATAAACTGTAAAAAAAAAGTTATCAAAATAAGAAAAAGTGATGAAGAAATGTAAAAATAAATGTAACAAAAGAAAGGTAAATCAAATGTTTATAGTAAAAAATAATTATGGACTTAAAGAGTGCTAGAAATATAAACATATATGTAGATGTAAAAATAAATACTCGTATAAATAGAACATCAATATGTAATGTAATTAAAAAAAAGGAAATTATATAATGAAAAGGAATACAAAGTCCTGCTACAGTGTAGGGCAGCAGCATTTGTAAAAAAAACAAGAAAAACGAGTTTTCCAAATCCGACAAATGTAAAAACTGTTGTGTCGAAATTGAATTATTAAATCTTACTACAAATACAAATTAGACATTGAAGCAGGAAAATAGTGGCTATATAATATTAGTTTTTTGTTTACATTCGCAACATTCCAACAGCGCCATCTGTCGGCGCCGCACGCAGTGATATCAAAGTTTATCAACATAAACTTGACACGCCACGACCTCACTCAAAGATAACTGGTCAAGAACGTGTGTCCCGTTATAGCGAAACTTTTCACATACCTGTAGTTAAAGCTGCGATTAAATAACCGAGAAAACACAAAATCGTGGCCATCTCGATTCAGAAACAAAACTTTCAATTCAAACACAATAACACAACAAGCTTACACACCAAGCGAGAACAAAACATTGTCAAAACACGCGCATCATCAAACAATTATTGATAACTTTTCCGCAAATTATAAGACTGGTCCGTGCGAAACTGGTTTCCAAACTGGTCGCTTAACCGACCAAAATGACGACGTCCAAAGAGGAGTACACGCAGATTGCACTGTCCCACTCGCACAACATTGCTACTTAAATTGTCATAATCAAAAGTTTTCACAAAATACTCACCACTGATATTTACTGAGATCAAGAAACAAATGAACCACAACGCTAAATTATTATCAACAAACATTCTGTGATAGTACATTCGTATTTGAATGAGAATACTTAAATGGTTATCACGGCCAAGCTAATCTGTATTTATAAGTAAGTCTAAGTATGAATAGCGGGAAAATTTTAATTTCAAACAAACGTTAGTCATCACGCTTGCAGTTCGGATTAACCTACACTCATCCCTTTTTTTATGTGAAAAGGTTAGCTAACGAGTCTATGATCGACGGATAGTAATCGACCACCGTAGGCAGCATTAAAATTATACTTTACTAGCGGCCCGCCCTCGCTTCGCTTCGGTGTGGAGCTGAAGTGTAGACAACAGTTTTTGTTCTCAGGCTTGTATTATACACAATGACATTCATCTATGATTCTTCTTATACCTGCATGCAAAGTCTCGGCCCGATCGGTTTAAAATTGTCAAAGTTTCATACAAACTTTCATTCCCTATTTTATCCCCGTGGGGGTAGAATTGATCAAAATCCTTTCTTAGCGGATGCCTACGTCCTAACATCTACCTTTTCTTTTCGTCAGGAAAATGCGTTACGCATAACCCCACCGCCTTGAGAGTGCGGCGAGGTTATGTGGGACTCCTCCGCTCCTCCTCTCTCCCACCCCCTCAGCTAGCCCGAGCTGCCCGAGAGGGGGGGGGGGGGCTACCTACTAAAAACCTGACGATGTCCCTCACCTCACCGACGGGCCATGTCTTCCCCGGGCGAGTGATCCACCATCTGGCGGCACTCCGCCCAGCGAGGAAACGGCACTGGGTGAGGTCACGGGAACCCTTTCGGATACTTCCGCGACGCGTCATAACATCTACCTGCATGCCAAATTTCAGCCCGATCCGTCCAGTGGTTTGGGCTGTGCGTTGATAGATCACTATGTCAGTCAGTCACCTTTGAGTTTTATATATATATATATAAATAAGATTCAAATTGACTTAGTGAAAGTCTTTTTGGATCGTCCAATATTTTTTCCTTTCACTGAACCAGGACATATTTTAACTGATGAGAAGAATGGGTGCAAGAAACTCGAACAAGAGATGCTTGTGATACCGTAGTATCACTCCCGGCGATGCCTACCCTGATTCTATCCCTGGCCTCCTGAAAACCTAGAAATTAGGTCATAAATAAATAAATCACTGCATCTATACCGTTGAAACTCCTTCAGAATTATGATCATAATTCATCAATCATAATTCTGACGACGACGCAGCCTGAAAAGACTTGCGTGAACGAGCCCCGAATCCCGGTGGGGGCAGATGTTTGTGTGATGAATACGAGCATTTGTACTCCAGTCAGCGATGTTTAATATGTATTTCTATATAAATATACTTCTATATGTACAGTATATGTATTCTATCCGTTACCCTAGTATCCCATAGCACAATTCTTACAATGCTTACTTTGGGGCTAGGCTAATTGGTGTGAGTGTTGGAAATTATTGTTATTATTACCTGCTGCTATCCTCAACGCAAGAAACCATCACCTATTTAAAATCAAAACCTATGCCAATGCCATCATAAGTATGAAGCAAGTATAAAATAAAATATAATCTTAGGTGCGTCAAATTGTTTTCCTCAAACCATTATGTAAACAAAATTCGTCTTTATTGTCATCAATTTACGATTACCAAACATGTGATCTTCATCTTGATTTGGTAGGTTAATGATTCTCGGCTTGTTTGTTAACCTATAATTTCCTTAATTTCAACGTATTTACGTAGCAATTTGGCAAAGCAATAATGACAAGCGCCGGTGTGATGCAAAGATGGTGTGAGTGAGATAGCTGCAATCTCCGTATTGTGGAGGAAGAATTTATTATTATTGTAGATACTCGTAACTGGTTTGCCAGAATCCAGTGGCTTTGAAGAATTAAGAGAACATGGAGTGTTTTTAACAACTTTTTTCAACTTGTTATTGTGAATATAAACAATCATAATTGATATTCCTAATTGTGTGTATATGTTTGGTTTTAAGTGTTGTTATCATGAAAATGGCGATTCCCGCCATTTTTGCAATATTATCTATGCTAATAGCAGGTAAGTAGATACGATAATCACAAGGTTTTTTTATTGCGAACTCATAGTTTGTTATTAGTTGTTTTAAGTATTTTATGTCAATTAGGTACTAATCTATACTTATAATAAATCTATAGAGAGGTCAATTCTGTACATGAAATATATTTTCAAAATAACTATTAGGGGGTGATTAGTGATCGATACTGATGCCAAAAATGCAATCAGTAAAATTTTTGTCTGTCTGTCTGTCTGTGTGTATGTTCCTTATAGAAACAAAAAGTACTCGACGGATTTTAACGAAACTTAGTACAATTATTCTTCATACTCCTGGGCAGGTTATAGTATACTTTTCATCACGCTACAATCAATAGGAGCAGAGTAGTGAAGGAAAATGTTGGGAAAACGGGAGAAGTTACTCCATTTTTTAAGCTTCCGTCGCGTGTGCAGCCTTAATGGAAAATGTTACATAGAAATCATGTACGACGGAAATATTCTACATAAAATTGTCTAAAAAATATCCCGCAACAGCATATGTCTATCTTTTATGGTTGACTCACAATAACACGTGTAATTATATAAATAAAGTCATTGTTTATAGCAGCACAAGCCTGAGAACAAAAACTATAGTTTACACTACAGCTCTACACCGAAGCAAAGCGAGGGCGGGCCACTAGTATTAAATAAAACAGCAGTTACGTCCCGTACATACTAAAATTTAAAGTCTTTTTTTTTTCAAATACTGGATTTGATGATGAATGATTATACATAACATTCATCATAGATGAACATTCATCATAGATGAATGTCATTCAATCATTTATCAGTTATCTATGACATTCATATAGCTGAATATCTTAATGAATTTAATATCAAGTGTTGTCTTACATGCAACACAAACTTTAATTAAAATAAATTGACGTCTCTGTATGCGGCCGTCAGTAAAAGATCGACTTATGACTTATTATATTCAATTACATTTGATCCGTTCAATTACACTTAGGCCCGTATTACAGAATAACAACTAAGTGTTGATCTTTACTTGAGTACAGTTAGAAAGGGATGTCGCTATGTGATATATATGTTACCGGCCAAACCCTTATTTCAGGACCAACTAGTTTTGCCTAGGCTTAACTACTTCTTCCTTTACGCGATAGGATTAACTAGTATAGCCTAGTCCAAACTAATTTGTCCTAAGCCCGATAGGATAAACCAGTTTAGCCTAGGCCAAACTAGTTGATCCTGATATAAATACTCACACTCTAGGATAAACTAGTATGGACTAGTCTAAACATTATAGTATACATATATATATATATATATCTTTATATATATAATTCTTCTGTGAGTGTGTATGTCACTGAACTTCTCTTAAACGACTGGACCGATTTTGATGAAATTTTTTGTGTGTGTTCAAGGGGATCTGAGAATGGTTTAGATTCACAATTTTGTGCGCTGGACAACCCCTATTTTTTTAGGGCGGTACGAAGTTCGCTGGGTCAGCTAGTATCTTTATATATATAATTCTTCTGTGAGTGTGTATGTCACTGAACTTCTCTTAAACGACTGGACCGATTTTGATGAAATTTTTTGTGTGTGTTCAAGGAGATCTGAGAATGGTTTAGATTCACAATTTTGTCCGCTGGACAACCCCTATTTTTTTAGGGCGGTACGAAGTTCGCTGGGTCAGCTAGTATATATATATATATATCTAGAAAGTCAAAATAAATAGATAAACTGAATAGAATTTTATTGAGCCAACGGCCAGGCCTACGAAAAGACCGTTTTTTTGTTGCTTTGACAGGACTGGAGCCATTACGAATAAGTCCGACTGAATTCTCCGCGCGCTTGCAACTGACTGATTCAGTAACTAAATAAGTTAAGTGTAATCAGAAGCTTCTAAATAGCCTTCTTTTTAGCTAACAAGGACGTCTGAATTTAGTCAGGTGGAATAGGCTCTTTAGACCGAATACGAGTGCCAATGGAATTCGGATAAACGACCTAGTGTAAATGAAGTCTTCAAGTTGCTATATTTGTGCGAACTTTACAATTATATAGTAAAAACAGTGACAAGCATTCACACTATACTCGAGGTGCGAACAAGCTGACCTCGATGAATTTTTAAATGATAGATCCTTACATTAATTGGACTATTTTTTTTTTTTTTATAATATTGAATGATTATTAATTTGTTAATTCATTTTATTTTTTGTATTATTATTTCTACTTGACATTTGTATTTTGACATATTTGTATTTGACATTTTGAATTTTTTCTAAGTAAAAATATTGTATTTTAATTGTTTTGACTCCGTAATGTACTTTATATAATTTGAAATATTGAATTAATTGAAAGATTACTTGGTACTTTATGTATTTTCTGTTCTGTTTATTATTGACGTGTAATTTATTACGAAATAAATGATTATGATTATTATGATTATGATTATGAACGTAGTCGAGTACGCAGGTATTCGGGTAGATTTTCTTTTGTTTACCCGACACCGTCTTCCAGACCGTATCCCAGTGTATATACAGGGTGTTACAGAATTTCGAAATAAAATTTGTAGGTATGTATTCCGAAATAAAAATTTGTAGGTATCTGAGCGGGGCGCAGGGACGCCTGGGGGAAAGAGGGGGGTCTGTTTAGGTAATAGTAATCGTACGCATTTATAGGGTTGTCATAGGTAGGTGTAAAACGATATTTTTATTAATTTAATTAGAAAATAAAAGTGGTCTGAAAGCCGTCAAACTTTTGTAGGTAATTCTATACAAGGAACACAACCA